CTAGCAAGGAGATCGGGCTGAAACTATAGCTACAAGCTATCCAAGGATGGTACTATAGAATGTCACCTCAAGGTAGGCCTAGTGGCGTCATCTCTTGGTTAGGCCGGAAACTTATCAATCCACCCTCGTATAATAAAGTACGGGTGGCAACCCTAGCCGTAATGTATAGGCACTTCGCAAGATGACCGGTGCATTGTCTAGGATTGGTCAGTGCCTTATAGGCAAACTTTTCAATTATTGCCTCGATCTCTAAACTACATTTTCCTTACTACGAAAATTTCCCTGTCAGTGTGAAATAGTGCAGCGCATTTAAAACGCTTTGCGTCAGTTGTTTAAAGGCCTTTGGGAAACCTGGCAGCATTCGCTCCTTCTTTGTATCTGTTGTCCTTTTATCTGTTATTGTCGCAGTATTTCAGGAAAATGAAGGTTCATATTTCCATTACAGCGGGCTTTGTTAATAGTCTGAAGAATATTTTATTTTCATTGTATGCTTTATCGTAACGTAAATTAATTTTTATGGCTTTTAATTAAGGGTTTAACTTAACGACTGAAAGATAAATAACTTCTTATCTCTAATCTGTATTTAGTACGCTTTAGTCCACACAGCACTGTACACGTTTTAGGTAAATATTTTTTTAGTGTTTTAATCCGTAATTGAAATTGCCTATCATGGAAGGCATTTTTAATAATTGCAAGGTAATGCTTTATAGATGGTTCTTTTGTACCCACATAATCGTTTTTAACTTCAAAAATATATAAAATATTACGTACCCTTATTTCTCCAAAGGAAAATAAAAATGCATTTTTTATAGCGTCTTGTTATTGATTGCTTTGAGAAAAAGTTCTTTATTTTCTGTTTTGATCTTCTTTGTTGTTCTAATTGCTAAATGGAAGTTTTGCTTTATTAGGAGTCGTCAGAAAAAGAGATACCCTTTGTACCTTTTTTTTGTGTTTATACATAGATGTATTTTCATTGTTTCTCTGGCTCAACATTGATAAACCTATGTTTTGCTGAATAATGGTTTCTCTAAGTCTCATTTTGTAGACTTCTAATAATTGTGTGTAAGTGTTTTTAGTATTTTCTATTTCTGTTTAAAATTAATTGGTTTCTCTAGAATAGAGAATTTAAATTACTATTAAATACTTTTTGTAAAGCAAAAAGGACAAAAGCAGATAGAACCCATTTTGTTTTTTGGAGAAAATTGCACAAGTTTTCTTTTCATAAATAACAAGTTTTGTTTTCGAGATTGAACGTAATACAAAAAAAAATTGTTTATTAGCGAATCGAACGGCGATTATCTATTCATNATTATATAGTTTAATGAGCTAATATATTTCATGTTTGCGTTTTTATCAGTAAAACATAAATAATACGTTAATACTCTTACAAATATAATATGAAATTTTTTACTTTGCTGTCAATAAATTTTCTTTACAATTTTTTAATTCTTCATAATTGTTTTTTTTTCATTAAGTAATGCTAGTAAGTACGAAGAAAAAAAAATTTCGAAGCGAATTGTTTGGTTTTAAATTTTTCTGTGGATGGTTAGCTTGTCTAATCGTAATATCTCACTACTGATTGTAACTAATTTCACGTACCTGTATATTATGTAATTATGTTTGTAATAGAAATAAGCAGGAGATGAAAGTTAAGCTGCGCTGTGCCGAAAAGGACAAAAATGTAGGATTTTGTTTATTAGTATTTGACTACAACTATGCTACCATGTAAACTAGAAACTCGAGAAATAAAATTAAATATTCCAACTCAAATGTATCCCATTTAAATTTAAACATTTTGGGCGGTCAATCACTTTTCTCTATCTTCTCTCATTTATATTTAAACATTTTTGACTGTCTATATTTTGTTTATTAAAACACCCATAATTGTTACAGACGGTGTTGGAGTCTCCATCATGTGTTAGTCATGAAGACGAAGCAGATTTGTGGGCTCATACATATATGCTTTCAGATCATGATGGTGCTCTTCACAAAAAGTAAGTAGCATTCACAATGTTTTAGCTTTTCTTTAAATTGAATAATTTCCAGGTGGAACAAGGAAACATGGTGTAAACCATCTTGTATTCCGATAACTATAATTTTAATACTCATATTCCTGGTTGTATTATTACCGCTGTTGGATCATGCCATGACAAAAGCAGATCACAGTACTTCAATCAAACCTGAAGACTTGTGTAGAAATTCTTGCAGGTAGGTTATAGTTAAAATTATATAAATTGTAAAAGCAAAGGTGATGCTTTGTTTTTAATTGCAGACTATCATTAGTAGAAAGTATTCCTGATGGTCTTAAATATCCTGACGGTACTGCTGTACATCGTTCTACAGCGAGTACCTGGTTAGATCTTATATCAACTGCACGTGAGTCTATAGAAATAGCTTCCTTTTATTGGACATTACGACAATCAGAAATTTATCCAGATCCTTCTTCAGTGCAGGTAGTTTATTCAAATATGGCTTATTTTAGTTTTACTTAGTAGTTTTAGTTTATTGTAGTTGTAGAGTTTTGCAATTCACAATTCTTTCCCATTCAAGGGTGAAAAAGTTTTCCAAGCATTACTGAATGCTGGCACCAAACGAAACATATCAATAAAAATTGCACAAAATTCGCCAACTCGTGAGCAGCCTAATACTGATACAGAATATCTAGTTAAAAGGAAAGCTGCAGATGTTCGTAGTTTAAATTTTGTTCAATTGTTGGGTGGTGGAGTACTACATACAAAGTTCTGGATTATTGACAGAAAACATTTTTATGTGGGCAGTGCAAACATGGACTGGAGAGCCTTAACCCAGGTAAATCTACAATTTTAACTACATTAATTATTTTCTTTTAAATATAGTTTAGTTCCATCAGTTTAATAATTATGAGATGAATAAATAATATAGTAAATTGAAGAAGCTTAGGTTTAGATGAATTTGGGGCCTTTTTTGTATAAATCGTTATGTATTTTATATTTGTTTCTACGGTTTTTTAACAGCAATTCAGTTTAAATTGAATTTAAACAGATTTTAGTAAGTTTCGCAAAACAATTAAAAAATATGTAGCAATAATTTTAATTGGACGTAGGCAACCCAACTTACGCGCATGTCGCATAGATTACTCTAGCATAACTAAATCTGGCATTAATAAATAAATCTTAATTTTAAAGAAAATCTAGTGAATGGAATGAAGATTATTTTTTAGTAATNCTGGTTGTATTATTACCGCTGTTGGATCATGCCATGACAAAAGCAGATCACAGTACTTCAATCAAACCTGAAGACTTGTGTAGAAATTCTTGCAGGTAGGTTATAGTTAAAATTATATAAATTGTAAAAGCAAAGGTGATGCTTTGTTTTTAATTGCAGACTATCATTAGTAGAAAGTATTCCTGATGGTCTTAAATATCCTGACGGTACTGCTGTACATCGTTCTACAGCGAGTACCTGGTTAGATCTTATATCAACTGCACGTGAGTCTATAGAAATAGCTTCCTTTTATTGGACATTACGACAATCAGAAATTTATCCAGATCCTTCTTCAGTGCAGGTAGTTTATTCAAATATGGCTTATTTTAGTTTTACTTAGTAGTTTTAGTTTATTGTAGTTGTAGAGTTTTGCAATTCACAATTCTTTCCCATTCAAGGGTGAAAAAGTTTTCCAAGCATTACTGAATGCTGGCACCAAACGAAACATATCAATAAAAATTGCACAAAATTCGCCAACTCGTGAGCAGCCTAATACTGATACAGAATATCTAGTTAAAAGGAAAGCTGCAGATGTTCGTAGTTTAAATTTTGTTCAATTGTTGGGTGGTGGAGTACTACATACAAAGTTCTGGATTATTGACAGAAAACATTTTTATGTGGGCAGTGCAAACATGGACTGGAGAGCCTTAACCCAGGTAAATCTACAATTTTAACTACATTAATTATTTTCTTTTAAATATAGTTTAGTTCCATCAGTTTAATAATTATGAGATGAATAAATAATATAGTAAATTGAAGAAGCTTAGGTTTAGATGAATTTGGGGCCTTTTTTGTATAAATCGTTATGTATTTTATATTTGTTTCTACGGTTTTTTAACAGCAATTCAGTTTAAATTGAATTTAAACAGATTTTAGTAAGTTTCGCAAAACAATTAAAAAATATGTAGCAATAATTTTAATTGGACGTAGGCAACCCAACTTACGCGCATGTCGCATAGATTACTCTAGCATAACTAAATCTGGCATTAATAAATAAATCTTAATTTTAAAGAAAATCTAGTGAATGGAATGAAGATTATTTTTTAGTAATTAAATAAATTCAGATTACCGTAAAATTATTAAATTCTGATAAACTACTTATTATAAGAAGGAGTGTAAGTACTCTGATACTAAATACCTTGTAAACTTGGAAGAAAAGAATTTCATTTCAAAGTGGCTTTTGTTGTGACTATTAACAGGGCTCAAACATTTGAGCGAATAGGAGCTTTTATGGTAACACCAGTACTTACTCTCGTGACACAGATATCCATACCTTTGTTAAAATTTGAATACTTAATTACTTCTGTATTCTGTTACAAAGAAAAACAAGTAGTAATAGTTGAATCTATATTAAGTTGTAATCTTTTTTATTAAGAAAGTTTATAAAAATTGAATTACATAAATATACTTTTCCACATCAATGGCTGAATGTTTTCATGTTTATTTGTTTATTTTTTTTAGGTAAAAGAATTGGGTGTTGTTGCATATAATTGTACCTGTCTTGCTGAAGATATGGGTAAAATTTTTGATGTAAGTAGAATAAGCAAGTCTTAGTAAAACTTAGAATTATTATTTATTATTCTTTTAGGTCTATTGGTTCTTAGGTAACAGTAAGGTAAAGATACCTACACACTGGCCCATCAGTTTTGGCACAGATTATAACATTGATAATCCACTTAAAGTAAATTTCAGTAATTATACCTTCCATTCGTTCATTTCGGTAAGTACCTAGGCACATTTTGTTAATTTCAAATTAAATTTTAAATATTTTGAAATACGTTTATAAAAACAAACATTTTCAATATTATTATTAAATTCTTTCTTATTCAACCTGCTAGATGTGTAAAAATGCATGAAAGTTGTTGTGAGGCATCAATGAAAAGAATTTTATAATTGGAAATTACTGAGATCCACTTTCATTCATTATTTGTTAAATAAATTTCTCCCTATTGAACTAGCTAAGAAATACCAGTGAAATGAATTTTATAGTTGGAAAGTACCTGGGTGCACTTTTAATTCCCAATTTAAAAAAGTCGTTTTTATTTTTTGATAAATAAATTTCTTCTTAATCATTCGATTTGAAAGTAGCAAAATGTATTGAAGTTATTGTGATGCATCACACATCAGTGAAGAAATTTTATAGTAGATAATTATTAATGTGCATTTTTAAACCTCCACTCTAAAATTAATAATCAATAGAATTAACAGTATTTTACTATTTTGCTAATTGGTGGTGCTGTTGACTCAAATTCAAAACGGACAGCTAATCTTTTATTGACAATAAAATATGTAAAGAAAGTACTGTCTCATCTTGAAAACGGTCACTGTTATTCCCTCTTTAATCCTTGACTTACATGCAACACAATTTCTTATGAAATAAGGTTTAAGATCACTTTTTATAAAGCTTATCATAACTTTTAAAATCGATATGTAGTCCCGTATATGATCAGACTTGCATAAACATTACAAGTATTTTTCATTAAATTTAACTGGATTTTTTCTTTATTTTCAGAGTTCGCCGCCCCCATTCTCGGCTTATGGTCGTACAGACGACATAAATGCCATTTTACATGTGATACAAACCGCTGAAAAATTCATTTACATAGCAGTGATGGATTATTCACCTCAATTCTTGTTCACTCCAAAAATCAAGTATTGGCCTGTTATAGATGACGCGCTACGAGTAGCAGCCATAGAACATTCTGTAAAGGTGCGATTGCTTATTAGCCTATGGAACCACACGAAATCATCTGAGGACCACTTTTTAAAGTCCCTTGTGGCTTTAAACAATGTCCATTCGAAGGTATCTATAGAAGTGGTGAGTTTTATTTTTATGCATTATTATTATCATTAATAAACGCATGTTACTCTTTTGCATCATCAAATACGAAAAATAGATTTAGAGCTTTTCAACAAACATATTCGCACGAAATATTTGTATTTCTTTCTAGTTAATTTACAATGCTTAAACTGTTGACTTGTCTCGTGTAAAAAACGTGCTTTGTTTAGAAGGTGTAGTGTATAGTGAGGGTTAGTTGATGTGTAGTGTAAAAAATATGAGTTGCCTGTAAAATTGTTGCTATGTGAAAGCATGTTGTGCAGTGGGGATGAGTTGTCAACATGTGCTGTAAATAATGCGTGTGTTTTGTTTGATAAGCATATTGTTGTGAGGGTGGAATTGTGTAGTGGGGGCTCCTTATGGACGTGTAACGTTGTCTGTAGAATTGTGGAGGATAAACGGTTGGTAGCTGAATAGTGATTCAATTTACACTGTTGCAGGGTTATTTTGTGGTTCCTGCAAATAACAGCCAGCGAAAAATACCGTATGCTAGAGTGAATCACAATAAATATATGGTAACCGATAATACGGCTTATGTAGGCACTTCAAATTGGTCGGCAGACTACTTTACAGACACGGCAGGTGTTGGTCTTATAATGCACGATCCCGAATTACATCGTAACGAGACCGAAAATACAATACGTAAAGAGTTAGAAGCTGTGTTTGAGCGTGATTGGAACTCTAATTATACAATTTCTATATTACAAACATGTAATGAGTAAAGTGCCTGTAGAGCAATGTAAAAGCGATAATAAATATTTGAGTGTTATTTGTCGTTTTTAAAATAATAAAATAAGTTACATTACAATTAAATTTCCGCACTATTATTTTCTGTTTATATATTTTAAGAAGAAAGTGAAATTTAAAACCAATAATGTGTAGGATTTTGTCGTAATACTACCTATTTTGGCTTTGATCTGCCAAAATACGATTTTCAGGAACAATTCTATAGTTCTTTTCATGTTTAATAAATTAGCGCTCTTGCGATTAATAACGTCAAGGACGTGGACAGGTTATACAACAGCATGTATTCGCTTGTAAGATGAGTTGCATACCTTAAAGTAACTTAATTCTGTATCCTACTTGAGCGTCAAATTCAAACATAACCAATCAAAATGTGTATATATAACGTCATTTTCGGGTCAATCGAAAAATCAACGAAAGTTAACGAAGTAAAGGTACCAAAGCAAGCATGCCGCAGTGAGTGCCGAATATTGGTCCAGAGTGGATATGAAATTGCTTTTTTGCGTTGTTGTCCGACAAAAATCTTAATACCCTAGGTAATATAATTGATCAAACACTTATTTCGGCACTTTTTTTACCCGCTACACACTTCCTCAAATTGAGAATATTTCATATTAAAAACTAACTCACTTCGGGAAGATTTCTACATTGTATGTATATTTATATTCAGTATATAGTTACATTAGTTCGACGGATCTGTGACTAATAGTACGGTTTGTCGTTGTTGCTGTTGTCATTTCTCGTAGCTTAGTGGTCAAAGCATTGGCGCATAAAGCCAAAGAAAGAGCCCGGGTTCGATTCCCGGCG